TTGCATTTTGATTTAAGGCCAATCCCTATGTTTCTGTATTGTGGGGTGTTCAATATATTTTTAGAATGTGATATCCCTACCCAGGCAACAGGATGTCGTCTTTTTCACGTGAATAAATGGTCATCATTTACGTCATAGTGACCAAAGATTTCACGTGATATTGACGTACCAATGACGGTCAAATGTCTCGTCTAGATGACGTCATTTTCTCACGAACTATTGACGTGACGTACTGACGTCTTAGAGTCGTCATTTTGTAACGAATTATTGACGTGATTTACTGACGTCCTAGAGACGGCATTTATTGTCCACTTTAATATTTATGTCTTAATTTTTAGAAAAAAATATGCAATAAATAAAAAGTAATATATTACTACCATTAATAGTTAACCTTACGAAATCTATATACAGGGTGGCCCAAATAAAACGAAACAGACGGGACATTAGGCGCTGCACTTGATTATGTGAAAAATGCTGGAACAGGTCGATTTCTTATTTAATGGGGACCTATAACGTTGCTATTTTCGTTCTTGTACCTTCACCCAAGAACGAGGGGCGGGCTATCAGTATAAGAAGGCAGGTGAATATCTAAATCAAAAAGCGACTTGTTCGAGCATTTTTCACATAATCAAGTACAGCGCCTACGGTCCCGTCTGCTTCGTTTTATTTGGGCCAGTCTGTATATAAAAGGCAATGATGTCCCGACTGACCTATTAACACCCAACCCAAACCCCTAATGATAGAAATTTGAAATTTGGAGAGGACGTTCATTTAATACTGGAGGCATCGTTTAAGAAGGAATTTCTCGAAGTTCAAAGGGGGTGAAAAGAAGTGGTCAAATTTGTAGAGGATCAATATTTCTTCTGTAAATTTACATTTTTACGTAAAACTTGATATTAATGCTCTTCACACAAGTTATTTTATAAAAATTTAAACAGGATTTGACACGCATTTTGAAGCGGCCTTATTAAATTCCTGATGGGGATGATCAGACAAATTTTGGTCAGCGTTTTACCAACTACACGATATTCCTAATATGCATATAAAATCTGAAACATTCAAACAACTGTTGATTTGAGAAGACTACATTTTTGAGAGACTTTTCTTGACCTCCGGTAGAGTATTTTAGAAAAGGTTTGAATGACTCCAGTTTAACTCTTATTGAGTTTTACAAATACTTGGCTACTAATAATTTTGCCTGTTATTACCTATTGTCGGTCTCTATTGTCCACAAACACATACACAAAACCTTGTTTATAGCTCCTTTTCATTATTATCTCGCCCTCCCTGACCTGACCTGACCTGACCTGACCAAACTCAAAGACAAACATTGAAAAATCCATGGCTGCCTTTCGTCGTACTTTTTATTGCTCTCTCGTAAGTATTTATTTACTATACTACTATAGAAACAATAAACTAGGTTCTGACCCACACTTCAGCGCCGGTATGGAATAACGACCGTTTATTTTTAAACTATTAACATGAGTATTATTTATTTCTGTTACGACCGCTCACAAGACTCTGGAGAACCGTTTCTCCGGCTTAGAGTACCCCAAGGTGGTGCCCGAGCGACCGCCCCGTAGAAAGCTTCATTTTTGTTGTATAATAAACCTTGCAAATTAAAAAAATTGGTCGAAAATTATTTCAACAGAACTTTTATCGCCTCGAAAATAAGTATAATCCAACAAATCCCATTTCTTTAAAAATTATACAATTTGATTTTGCGACATTTTATTTACGATAATCTCTGTACGCAAAAAAATATATAGACAATAATTGCAGTAAAAGTGTAAAAAAGAGGAGGAATCGAATGCGCAAGAGTTTTCACATTCGCGTAACCGTTTTCACATTCCATCACGGTGACCAAGTACGCTACATTCACCGTCGACTGTTATACAGCTAGGATTTTTTGTGAAAATCCAAGGTAAAAAAATTAATGCGGATTCATAAACCACAAGTACAAGAGTATATTATTTTGTAAAATTTAATTCGCGTTTACCAAAAAAAAAAAAATTGACGGGACGTCATCAGATTGTTGGTGGAGATGATTGGACAAATTTTGGTTAGCGTTTCACCGTCTACACGATATTAATAAAATACATATAAAATTTGATAACAATCTTAGTTTCGAAAATTGTGTTTAATAAAAATCGACACAGACGGAAAAGGAAGACCCATTTTTTCATAATATAGGGATCATGAAACGTCGAAAAAACATCAAAGGAGCGATTCGCTGGATGGACCCTTTTACAATACTTCGTTAGCTTACGCTCGGGAAGTAAAAATGAAAACAGAACACACTGTACGGGATAATAAAAAAATAACAAAACCTTCTTAAAGTTGGTAATCCAAATAGGTAAAATAACAAGTAAAATTACTTACCTTATGAAATGAATGAATTCCACTAGTAGTTTCTGGTATAATGAACATTAGTAGCTAGACATTCGTATTTTATGCAATAATATTAGAAAACTTTTTAGTATCATAGAGATTTACAATCAATTTGCTCATTTCTCATCGAACACTGCGTTGTAGGTATCTGCAGTATACCCACCTATACCATAGCAGCTTGTACGTAGAGTTTTTCGTAGTAAAACCATTAACAAAATGTCAATATTTGTTTCTCGTTTACTTACTTCTTTAGCAAGAATTTCAAGTACCTACACATCTCATTAAGAAATTAATTGCATGTAATTAAAACCTTTATCGATTAGTTTTTTTATCCATAAATAATACCGACAAAGCAATAAAAACACGATCAAAGACAGTCATGAATTTTTGAAAGTATGCCATTCCATCAAAGACAGACATTCAGAAATCCATGGCCGGCCTTTATTGTCTTTTTTGTTGCTCTCTCAATGAATACGATACGCCATCACAAAATTGCGAATAGGTACCATATAGGTATATCAAGAAGTGTCGGGGCATTAAAACGGCAACAGGACTATAAACATTATTAGTTTTATTATTATTACAAATGGTGCATACGATTGCTTTAATTTTCCAAACGTCTAATTCTTGAAAATAATATTCATTTTGATGTCTGATTTGAGTTTTTTGTTTCAATTTCACAATAAGAAATTGCATTAATAACATTTATCCCCACAACACCGAAAATATATAAAATATTTGTCCGCGCATTTCGTCAACCACATTGGCTAATTATCTAGGCCAAGGTAATTCAGTTGAAGAAATTATGGATTTTCCATTTTTGATAATTTAAGTGTCTATTGATAATTTATTGAAGAACCAATAATTTTTTTTGATAATTTTAGTGTCTATTGATAATTTATTGAAGAACTAACATTTATCTATTTATATCCTCGGAAAAACTGTTGACGTCAAACATTTCATTTGCAGCGTCTACTGTGATATATTTTTGTCATTTAATAACCCAGCTCTATTTTCGACTGTATACAGTACGTTATTTTCGACTGTATACAGTACGTTATTTTCTGAATGTATCAGAGGGATTTACATGGTGTAAACTTTAAGTCGTGTTAATGGTTTTTCTACTGCGAATTTTCCAAGCTCTTTTTGGTACACACTTAGTTCACATTCTTTTTACAAATTTTGATAATTTTTAGAATCAAAGAAATAAAAATAGCTCAGTTAAAAACTAAAATAATTCCATCATTTTACCTGATATTTGGTACACTAAAACCTCCTATAACGGACACCCCCAACAGCGGACACCTTTCCTTAGCGGACAATTGTCACTGTTCCAACGTATAAAAAGGTCATATAAAGTAAAGAATCCTACGAACAACAGACACTCAACAATCAACACGGAAAGTAAAATTTCGCATTTTTAGTTGTTTTCTTGTAAAATTACCTCTTCACAACGGTCATATAACAGGTAAAGGGGTCTCGAGATTAGACCGTACAATAAAATTTAAAGCTTAGGCCAACAGATTCTCGGTAACAGGTCACAACTCTCTTCAACCCCACACCGCTCATAATAAATATGGGTTTCTCCCAAATAGCAAAGCTGGGATGGTTTTGTTTGTTAAGTGCGAATGAACTTAGAAAATATCATTCATTGAACGTTTACGTTTAAATGTGTAACATTTAAAGCATTCGGCGACTCAGCGTTGGTTAAACATTATTATTACTTACATATAACAAAGAAATAATATGTATGTAACAATAAACAATAAAATATTGAGTAATTCTTTAGATCGTCTTGAAACCTCTTGACAGCGGACCCCTCTCCACAGCGGACAACTTGAGATTCTCCATGGGTGTCCGTTGTGAAGAGGTTTCACTGTATTTCACCTAGTTAAGGCCTCTTTCAAGGCCTGCCAAATTAGTGATAATCTTTCAGTCTAGTACAAACTTACTACTTCATTGTGGCAATTTTTAGTGACAACTAAGTACCTACTTTCTGTAATCGGGGCAGTCAACTAACTTCAACAGTTGCATTAAAAATACAAATAAATAATTTTTTTAGAAATCTTTGACTTTTTTGGTTTCAAAAACTATCAGAAGATGTAAAAAATTATGTAAATTAAACATAAACCACAATACTGTCACTTTTCAAGCTAGATCTAGTATCATCAATAAATTGAATTTTTCGTCTATTTTATTGAATAACTTTTTAAGTATTGATTTTAGAATATTAGTTGCTTTTGATTTTTTATAGAAAATCAATCTTTCCATTTATGAAAAAATATACCTAGTGTTTCATAAAAAAAATAAAGTTGACGTCATTTTCGGTTCTACCGGAAGTGATAATAAAAATGTGGGGTTGGCGTCACATACATCTTGTAAAATGATACAAATTTGCTCAAAAAACTACAGATTTATCTTTAACAATAAAAAAGTTGCAGAAGTTGTATCAAATAAAAGAAACCCTGTATACAGAACGTCTACAGGTAATAAAATTTGGATCATCGAAACATGAAACTTGTTTTGTGTGAAAGCGAAGCAGTCTTCTGAAAACTACAAATTTTTTAACGACACAAGTAAATTTGAGTTGTATAAAGAAAAAACCTACAAAAATAATAATAAAATTTATTTGAAATAAGTTCTGAAATTTCATAACACTTAAATCAACGTGAACAGTTCAAACAACTTTGCAAGAAAGTTAATAAGTTAATAAAAACGATAATTAAAATTACATTAAATGCGAAATTATAAATATATAAAAAACACCAAATTACAAGATAAAAAAATTCAAATTCGTTTTTTTCATACTAATGGCTACATGATGTATCTAGCTACTAAGCGTTACCGTTTGACGTTAGACTGCTTTAAAATTTGGAGCTACACGTTAGGTAAAGTGATAATTGAAATAATCATTGTTAAGTTTTCATGAAAACATGTCATTAATATAAAATTAAAAAATATTTAAAAAAAGCTGTTATTTAGATAACAAAACAGTATTCAAAAAATAAATGAACTTCCATTTATAAATGCCCTGCGTTCATGGCCTCTAACAATTATTTACACTATACATTACAGTATCTAAAAATACCATCCTTATAAACTTGCTCTGTACGGCTAAAATATTGTTAGTAAAAATAATTCACGTATACGCAATTTCACTTCTCTTAAAATTACAACCCTGCTTCAACATTATTATAAGGATGTATTTATAAAAGACACGCTTTTTACAACGTATTTGTACTCATGTAATACAAAGAAAAACAATATAAATATACACTGGAACAACTAAAAACAATTGATTGTCTTTAAATCTTATTAACTAATCAAAAATATTAAAATCTTTCAGCAGTAAGCTTAGATTTTCGTTTTTAGAATAATACAGTGGTGTTCTTTACTTGCTTAATATTAATTTTGCAGTCTTCAAATTGAGATTTTAGTTTATTTTGTACAGTGCCGGAAGTAATTATCGCCGTAAAAGCAAGGAATCAAGATTCATTCTTGACGCTAATAAATAATTATCATCACCTATTGGAGCAGCCCTGAAACGAAAACAAATTAGAATGTCAAAATTATACAATTTAATCGCACTTACAGGCTGCCATATTTTGTATCCCTGGCTAACGTTCGCATGTACGAGTTATGTTTGGTTTCGATTTTTACAGCAACATCTCTCAGCTCTCGCAAGACAATGAAACAATCCTTGACATCTTGCAGTCCGTAGGTTTTAAATTGCAAAATACCTTTCAAAAATGTTTCTGGCTGACACATTATTATTTCTAGTTGATTCATGTGGGAGATGATTAACGAATGGATCCTTTGCAATTCCCTTTCTGGGTCTAACGTTATATGAAAATTATTGCTATCAGTTGAAGACACTTTACTACAGCCCGGAGCCAACTCATTAAACGACTCACAACTAAAAAAAATCAAAATTAGCACTACTTCCAGTAAAAAGGTTAATTTTCATACCATGACCACTTGCCATTAATGAAAGCACATGGATGATACTGATTCAATCTATTCTGATTGGTCTGGCACATTTTTGTAAGCAAATCAACCCACTCTTTTTCTTCTACACAATTCGCTGCCTGGACGTACAAAGTTCGACCGTCTTGAACGATTTGGAACATGTTTTTCATTTTAAACGATTTTTCCGTTAGCCGTTCCACAGCCAAAATATTCGATAAGGGTATCTGACATAACGCTTCTTTACCTAAAATCGTTAAATATGTTAGATAAATTGATTAAATATATTAAAATAATGATAACTTACCTTTACTTTTCGCATAACTTAAACTATGAGTTGTTAGTTTGAAGTATCTCTGTTTAAAGTTTTTTCTTCCAAATCTTTTTCTTCCTTGAGCACGTTTGATCATCAGTCTGGTGAAAAACAACAGTTTTAGTAAATACACTCAAAAGAAACATATTGATGTTATTTTAACGCTGCAAACATTTCTAATCCATTATATTTGGGATGTGCGAAGCAATTATAATAATTCGATTAAATGTCCACACAGTTTTTTTATGAATGTACGTTATTTTCAGTACCTCGCTGATAAATTCATTGCAGGCAACTTCATATAATATGCTTACTGTAGTTGCGCAATTTTGCGTTACTGCGCATGACCGTATGCAATAAGTATTTATTTACATAGTAGACAAATTGTATGATAATGAGTTATTGGAGGCAAAAAACGGGATAAAAACGGATTGCATTGATTATTTTTATGATTTTTATGTTACTATTATACATACTTTACTTTCACTTTTCAAAATAAAGTTACTACCGGGATTATAAATTTTCACTAATTTGTAAGTGTACAAATAAAATATTATTCATTATAACGTTGCATTCTTCTTATTTTCTTAAAGCAGTCACGGTTCTATTCTGCTCATTAGATCAGAAATGTATTTATTTAATGTATTGGTCAAAAATATTAAAACACGAACATTTCGGCACTTGATACTAAAACCATATTTTATTTATATTGTACCAATAGGACATACTGGTTTTTGTTTAACCTGAAATATTTTCATTATTATTAGTGCAGTGATATGCAGTAAAAACAGAATTTATATGTCTTTACAATTATAGTTTGAACTTCATTAATAATGGGGTGGAGAGTTTTAAACAGAATGCATTTTTTTTTCCATTGTAAGCGCCTTTATAAGTAAATGTTTCACTTTTCAAAAGTAACATAATAAAAAAATCACGCTATCAATTTTTCTAATGTAGGTAGTGTGCACAATGAGAATGCTTTATTTAGCAAGGAATAAAAGAATGCGTCAGTGTTGAATTTTTGCAAATGCGCTAAATGCTGAAAAATGACATCCGATTTTTTTTCACTTGAACAACATCCATAGGTAAATGAGGAAATTCATTTTTGAATAAAATAATAATAACAAAATAAATAAATAAAATGAAAGGTTTGCAAGAACTTTGCTATTTTTTAATATAAATTTCAAGTGGCTGTCCTCAGTTTTCTTATTATTAATACTTTTAACGTTTGTGTAATTCCGTTAAATTCTCATTCTTGGCCGTTATTCGGTGATGAATCAATTTTGATTTAACAAATTTAACAATGTTTTCTATGTATCTTTAAATCAATTTTCAATCAATGCAGTTTTATAAACAAAAATTGGACTAATGTTATTTAGAGACAACTTCCGTCGACCCTAAAGTATACTCGAATAAACACAGCTAATTATAAAATTTAATTTTGTAAATTTTATTTATTTATGTTAGCCCCTACAGATAAATAAATAAGCTATAATAAGAAATAAAATAAAGGTGAATTCATAAACTACAACTACAGGAGAATATTATTTTATAAAATTTAAATGCCCCTCGCTGGACAAAATGTTGAGGTGACATCATCAAATTGTTGATGGGGATAATTAGACAAATTTTGGTTAGCGTTTTACCATGTATGCCATATTCCTTCCAAGCATATAAAATTTGACAACAAATATAGTTTCCGAGATTATCCATCATCATTTTCATACTCTAGGGGTCATGAAACGTCGATAAAACATGAAGGTAGATGTTTGCTAGATTACCGTTTTACCAGTGACAGAATTACTCTTAAATTACTACCAAAATTTATGTTAGAAATGTTGCAAGAAAAATATTCTACAGGGTTTTAAAAAATGGTACACTAATTTAACGATATATGATTAAATTCACAAGTTTAAGTTGGAGAAAAATAATTAATAATAATAATAATAAAGGTCTTTATTAAAAGAAATTAAAACATTCTTTATGTCAATTTGACGTTCACTTACAAAAACAAAATATCGAAGTAGATAGATCGATCAAAAAACTTAAAACTTTAATCACTGTCGTCAGGTTCATGCTAAACAATTTTTAAGTTTTTATAAAGTTATAAAATAAAGCCTCCAAAATTATTTTGAATAATGAAAGTCCAATCGATTTCAAATACCCAACACAAAGTAGTGAATAAAAATATGGTAAAATTAAAAAAAAAAAAAAAAGAAAGTCTACATTTGGTCAAAATGATTTTTTAAATTATTATTTTTTTCTCTGCTTCATAAATGGTCCTAAACAACGTGTCACAGAGTTGGTAATTCACTTTTTAAACATCCTGTATATTTCGATGGTAAAGTACGCAAGAAATTTCACACACGTTCGAAATATGTTCAAGCGTTTACGTTTTGAACGTCTACGCATTTTCTTGCCCACTTTGCCACCACAGTATAAATATTTTTTTATAAAACCTTTAAAATAAATTTTGGTAATGATGTTCTGTGTAATTCTGTGACGTGTAAAACCGCTCTGAGTTCTGGTTCGAGAAGTAAAAGTACGGTGAAACTTCAAATACAGGACAACTTTTTAACTGATTACTCACATCTCAGTCTTTTTGGTTGTACCCTATTTATATTCATTTGGTTAGGCGGCAACATTTTTATCGTTTCACTACTGTGATCTTGGAAACTGAAAAAAACACGATATTTCAAGTTATAAACATTAATTTTGTTTAACTTTTACTTTCCGAGCATAAGCTAAGGAAGTATTTGTCGGTTAATGGCCACTCTCATTCTCAGAGAATCTCTGAAACTACTGCACCAATTGTCAAATTTTGTATGTATATTAGAAATATCGTGTAGAGCGTAAAACGCTAACCAAAATTTGTCTAATCGTCCCTATCAACAATTTATCACGTCTCGTCAATTATTTTTTATTAAACGCTACGTAAATTTTATAAAATAACATTCTTTTGTACTTGTGATTTATGAATCTGCCTTGATTTTTTCTTACACCCTTACTGTTATTATCTATATTTTTTATATACAGATATTGAGGTTATCAGTTATCAGAAATAAAACATCGCAACATTGAATTATATAATCTTTCAAAGAAGCGGGATTTGTTGGACTCTACTTCGGAGGTGACGAAAGTTCTGTCCAAATAACCTTCGGCCAATTTTTACGTACTTTTACATTTTTCGATATCACATTTAATTTAATTATTCACTGAAATAATAATGGAAAATGCAAAATCATTGTTTTTTTTTATACAACTTCGGGCGATAATTCAATTTTATTTATACAGTATGGCAGTTTCATTTGTTGTTGTTTGCGTTAATTTTTTTTACACCCTACAGTCATAAGTAAAAAAAAATCACAAGTACGCTAAAGTTAACTATTCCAGTAAACACAATTTACTGGAATTACTGGGTGTTCCAAAAAAGACGCATAAGCTGGATTGTACATTATGGATCATATGCTAGCAAATTATTGTTAAATTAATAATGTAACTGCCTATAAGATATGCATTTCATTAAAACAAATCAGAATTACAAAGTTAATTCTTCACCTTCGAATTTTATATGTTGAAAAATCTGGTTCAGGGATTTTTTAAACCATTTTTTTCCAGTTCTTCAGAGCCTTCTTAACAACATAACATAGAGCTTATGAGTCATTTTTGGAACACACAGTATCTCAATAACTGAAAACGATAAGTTTTGAAAAATTAAATACACATCATCTTCCAAATTCATTGAAAGTTCCAAGAACTGTAGATTTTATAATTCTTTTTTTTTTGTAATACATACCGGCCACATATTTTCGTGTATTTCTTTGTATGAAGTTTTTCTTCGAAAAATTAAATATCATATAATTTCTGTACCAATGTCACGACGCAGTTATTTTAGAGTGCCGATTAAAAACGGTCACGATTTAAATGAGTCTACGGATTAACACACAACTAACTACATAAGACTAACCTTTTGATTTCCCTACAGCAGCATTAATATTAAACAAAGTTATTAAAAACAACATTTTACCACAATAATAACTTACCCCTCTTTCAAAGTAACTGGAGTATCATTGTCTCTATTCTCCGGATTCGAAATAGCTGAAATAATCTCTAAAAACTGCCGCACTGCTGTCACGTGAGTGTCTGTATAAAATTCTTTATACAAAGATTCCATGTATTCTTCTTTACACACTTGCTGACTTGACCGACAACTCACCAAATTCCCCAAAGATTGGATCGTTTTTGAAATTAATGTCAAAGTCCGATTAATTTGATTATCCTACAAAAAAAAAGGTCTTGAACAAACTCCGCCTCATTCTCCTCTGCGCGCGCAACTTACAATTTGCTCATTAGTCAAATCAAAGAGTCGTGGTCCTAATATCGCCGGTGCGAAGAATCTCAAAAAAATAAATCCCGAAATAACCGAATATCTAACTTCCTTGTTTTCTGGGAAACGCTTCATAGCACATTCTTTGAGATTATAAAATATCTGGCACATTAGAGCTGGACAGTGAACTGCGCTTTGAGTTATTGCTTTAAAAACTTTAAGGACGTAAGTCTTGAGATTGTTGAGGTTCGTTTGGACGGTGTTGGAATCACGGACGCGTGTTGGATCAATTTCGCATGGCTTTCTTTCATTGAAAATGAGTTCTATTGTCGGTCGAAGCGTTTTGTGGAGATACTGGAGACCAATGAGACGCATGGCTTCATCCATCATTTTTGAAACTAGAGTATTACCACGGAATATCGTCGTTGGATCTCTAGAAAAATAGAAACACAATGTTTATTTATATGTTTTTGAAGTAACAAAAGTAGAAACAAAAACAAATATCACACATTTTTTCTTATGTTAATTTAATTCGCATGAAAAAAAAAACACATAAGCTGAGACAATTCGTCCCGTTTTTTCAAAATCTTGAAAAATTCGTCTTTAGTCATTTTAATCATGTAAAATTTTGTGCTATCATAAATACACAGACATACAGGGTCGCTAAAAAGTATGGAGGCAGTTGAATATCGAATATATATGTATATTCAAAAATTGACGAGTGGTGCTATTTAAAAAAAATTAAGTTAGCCTTCCATCTTGAAAACAAATGAAGTTTCAAGTTTAAAAAAAATTATAGAAAATAGAGCTTGAATACTTTTAAGTATAGCCCAAATTTCAAAAAGATCCAACTAACCGTTCCCGAGATATTCAACTGCTTCCATACTTTTTAGCAATCCTGTATCGTGAAAAAATGTTTAAAATGAATATGTCGAAATAATACATTCCCCACATAAGGTGGCCGCGAACAAATTGGCAACACCGCAGTGAAATTTCCAATGTAAAATGCATTACTTATCGGTTTTACGTGCTGCAGTTTTATGTCAGTCAGTATACCTGACCTAAATGAAATATCCAACAAGTAAACCTACGAAGATTAGTTTATAGATTTGATAAACAAAAAATCCAAAATGTACTAGTAGTTGCAAGGAAAATCTTCACGAAAAAATTTAAAAGCTTAATTTTCCTCTTTATAGTGATTACAAAGAATGGGCAACCTACATTTAAATAATCAAATCGAAATTGTACTTGGCGAAAGCATTAATATCCCAAGTATATTTCATAAACAAACGAATGACGTCTGCGTGGGATAGATGTAAAAAAACGTTAAACACGATATTGTTCATTATTTAATGAATCATGCGATAAAAGCAATTTTATGTTACTTGAACTGCTTTCCACGTTTTAATACACGCATCGGCTTGTTCAAAACTTCGCCAAACATTATTATTTTCAAAGCAGTAAAAGAGAACAGCACAAAACACTCGGTTACGTCAATCCAATTTATGCACCGCCGCCCACAAAATGTTAAACTTATCAAAACTTTAGATCAACCGAGCATAAAGTTGAATAAAGTTAACTAATTCCATGATAATCAAGAAAAGTGCTGCTTTGCTAAAATTTGAATTAATTAATCGCAAAAAATCTCTCGGGGGTGGAATGATTATATAGAGAAAATTGTGTCCGCCCACGTAGCAATTTCATGAATGGAAACTCTACCCTGCCGCCCTCACCCCTTTTCCGATGCTGATTATGTATGAAGCCCACTCATATTTCCATTCAGTGAGAGGGGCCACCCACCGTTCCGTAACTTTGTATGTGTATAAATATTTGATTGTGTAGACTGCACCCACGTTTGTAGAATCGATAGGTACTAATTGCGAGACGGTGTGTTCGTTTTGTTTAAAAAGGTGGAAATTTGAATTTATGAGGTGGCCGGAAATGGAGCCATTATCGTATTCATTTCACATGGGGAAATTGTGATTACGATTACAATCAATAAAAACGTAAAAGTATTATTAATTTTAAGAAACTGTTCTGTCAGAGTGAAAGTACATTGTTCATTTTCCACTAAGAGGTTGTAACAAGCGATAAAAAACCCTGTGTTACTAGGTGATCGTATTTTTTTTTTCAGGAACGTCATCTGTCACATTTGTCGTTTGGATTTCCGTGTTTCGTTCAGATGTTCATGTTTTCTCGACGTTTTAAGACCCCTAGTTTTTTGGTCTGTCGTCTGTGTCGATATTCGTTACCATTAGAGAGATAATCTCGATATTTAGACAGATATTTTAAAATTGGACAACAATCAGTCCAGTTGTTTTAGAGATTATGATTAATTATTAACATTCTCTCACACAAATGTAAGAAACTTTAAAAATAATAAACGTCAATCAGTTATAAAAATAAACCAATTTTTGGAATACATTAACTAAATGCGTTTGTTAATAGACTTGTGAATGCGAGACGAGGAAAAATGGAAATAAGAAAAGCGTACCCTATATAAACAATCTATTTACAAGAAACAATGAAATGGTTTGAACTAATACTATACCAATGATCATTGCAGATGAAAATTATTTTAATAACAAATTTCTTACACAGGGATTTTATTAATGTTTAACATCTAGTAGGCTCTGTATTTTGTTTGTAGGTAGGTACTACTGACAAATTGTTCATTTTGAAATTTGACGTTTGATGTCAAAGTCGCGCTTATAAAATATAGGTTAAACAGTGCCCAGTAAATACTGATTTTAAAAATCCATGGCCAACTAGACATCAAATATTAATGAAAGCCCTGTATATTATGTTATTATGGAAATACAAACTATGTGCTGTACTGATGAGAGCAAACAAGATCGAAACTGGAGTCTATAGCTTTTCAACGGGTTGTCTAATCTTCAGTGTGATTAAACACTTTGCAAAAACAAACTAATTGAACGAAATTGTGATAATTCGTAAAGTTTCTGAGCAACAAGTCTATATCAATATTTAATAAAACTTATTCTAACTAAGAGTAATTTCGTTTCAGAAACGAAAAAAAATCGGTACAAATAACTGCAAATTTGCTTTAGATACATGGTCTGCCTATGTAAAATTTTTTTTTCATATACTCAATTAAGCTTTTATCTCCAATACTTGAGACAATTTTATTTTAACTACAATAAAATCGTATAATCAGTTTTTGTGATATTTTGCAAAATAGTTAGTTTAAAACGCGAATACTTGTAAACATTAAAAGCAACGACAGAATATTAAATCACAACTAAAGTGGTATCTAAGAACAAACATTTGAGACAAGATTTACTAAAAAACATTTTGGAATGATGTCAAGAATTTCTTACTGAATACAAACATATTAATATCGAGATGTATAACTTAACACTGATCACAAAGGTTTTTATCTTGTTAAAAGACAAGAGAAATTTGTTTTGTAGTTCCTAAGAACATCGATGAAATAAAAATAAATGGGTCTGCACTTAATTTTTTAAGTGTTCTATGTGAGTAATTCTTAAAAAAAAAAAAACTACTGAAATACAAGTAATATCATTTCCTGTGATGCATTTTTCCTTGAAGATTTCAAAACCATCTTATCTATTTTTAATGGGTTTAAATATATGATTTCGATATGTGTTTTAATCAGTGATTTCATGCTGTTATGACAAACGTTTTTGGAAGGAATCGTGAAAATTAAAAGGACACTAGTCAGTCGCAAGTAACAACATAATGCTAACGAAATGAATTTTCATCTTTCATATAATATATTTAAATTTTTTAAACATCCTGAATAAACAATTACAAAAAATATAAACATCTCATCAAAACAGAAGCATCGTTGCATCTAGGGTACACTTTTTAATAAACATTTTATTTAAAATATATTTTTTCATATTAGTGGCTAATTAAAATTTTAAAACAAACACGTTTCTAAAACAAATTGTAAAACTTTCTTGGTATAAATTTGTTTTTTGCAAGCCACATTAGTAAAGTAAAGGAGTATGTCGCACGATAAATTTCAAGAGAAATTAATTTATTTTTTGATAGTTGAAATTTATCTCTGAGTGAGAATATGTTATATGCATACAAACAAGTGCACCCGGATAATTTCAGTTCCAAGTAATTAATTTTATCGTTCAACAAACAGAATAAAACAAAATAAATCTTGCCTGCAAAGCAAAACTAATTCCGCCTGCATCAGAAGTCGTATTTTTTAATATTTAACATTAAAAAAGATCACTCAATTTCTGGAAAGCAAAAATAATTCAATTTACTTTTAACTGATATGGTGTCTTACCAAAATTTAATAAATTCGTTGTAAAATCTAATTTCCGAAACGTGCTGTAAAATTGTCAATTTTATTTACTTGTCTGCGTGAAGTTACATAGAAAAGTTGAAAAGTTCTACATTACATGTGAATTTATTAACCATGTTTTGAAGTTATACCAAATTTTGCGAAGATTCAAATAAATTTTAGTCAACGTTCCATTAACTTCACCACAATCTTATATTGCACCGAAAATTTGCATTTTCGTATTTGACAACCTGTGTGAAACAAAAAAATATTAAACCGACAACAATTGTTAAAACTGTCCTATTGTAATACTTCTTTACGTTGTTTCGAGGAAAGTAATAACTTCACGTTAGTAATTTCACATGTACCTCGAGATGCCACTTTAAATTACATATCTTGATTATTGCAGAAAAGCTTCACGGATCAAAAATACCGAATAATATCACTGTCATGTTATCACTTGGAAAAATATTAAAACACAATTTTGATAAATATCAATAACATGGTTGATAGTAAAGTGCGAAAGAAAAGTATCACAGTACTAATAATGGTGCAATTTTTACGTCACTTTTAGTAACGTATAATAAAACAGGTTTCACATTCAATTTAACGGCTTACATGTTGTCATTTTTTTAACCGAATAAACAAATCGCGTTAATAAAGGACTGCTTTGACTTGACTGACCCCAGTTTGTTTCTTTTTTTTATATTCATGTGACACTATAATTCATTATTCATCATCGGATCTTTCTGCAAATGAAGCCAGAAAAAATAAATCCGATTACATAATTTAAAAATTTTGTTGCGGGTGTGCGATTTACTAAGTCAAGGTTAACCCAATTATATCTCGAATTTTTATCGTATTCTTTAGAATAATATAGATGTTGCGTATACATTAAGTTATCAACTCCCAAAGATAGCAACAATTGAATGAACCGATTCATTTTCATACATTCATAAAGCATTATCGGCCGACATAAAAATTTCACTTATCGTCAATGTAGTACATTACAAATATGGACATGTAAATTATCTGTTGCTTAATTTGTTATCAAAAAATGTGCAATATTTATTTTTGTGATGAAATAAACTCTCCGAATAGTTATTACAACTAACTTACTTAAACATTCATATGTTATGCATTTGGAGTACTGCAAAGGAAACTCTTTTCTGGATTTCAATTTCGTTCCAACAAGTACAATAACCTTATTACTAACAACAAAAATGGGCACGATGCAAATTTTATCACTAAATTAACTCGTGATTAGTTGATTATTATCAATGATTTTTAATTATCGTTAATATCAGTCGACAACTGTGATTTTAAAAAAAAAGATATTCTATCAATTAACGATTAGAACAACCTTACACTGAAAACGGTTCAATATTTCTGAGGGGAAAAAATTCGATATAATTTGGAAATGCATTATTTTTCTAAAGCAGTTATTAACAGTTCAATAAATGCTGCATGTGTTTCAAACTCGGCATTATATATGTATTTGCCTGAAGACAAGATAGTATTTTTCCATCTAATTAAAACATTAGTATTTTATTTTATTGATATTATCTCCGTTATTAGGCTCTGCATCGACACCTTTATTGGTTCTACATGTACTAACTTGTTATTTAATTTTTTAATAGTTGTTATCTATTAAAATTTACCCCCTGTAGTGCATAATATGGTAATGAGAATACTTTTTAACGTAGTGTAGTCGATCATTCCGACGGTTTCTGCAATGATAAACTAAAATTTTACTTACGTCAACATGGAAATTTCAGCATCGGCTAAAGCTTTGATGATGGGTACGATCTGGCCATGGTGCATAAATATCCTGACTAAAGGCTGTGCAATTTCTGTTTTGCTGGAAATAATTTCACCCAAAACGTACACAGCGCTTGAAGTAATAGGCTGCAAAATAAAACTTAATTAATTGCTTGTCAACAGAGAAGATGTGGGTATGAACCTTTGTTTGGACGCTTTTTAACAATAGACTTCTTAATGACTCGTAAATTTCTGCAGGGAAGACCCTGTCCTCGTTGTACTGAACTTGGAGCCTTAGAGATCCAAGAGAATTATCTTGAGACAGTCGGGTGCCGGGGGGCGTTGAGTACGTAAAGGACGGACGATTTTTCGCCGATCTGGGCTGGAGGAAATACCTGAAAAATTTGATCGCTGAAATTAATTTTACTTTTCGTGCTGAAGTTACGGTAAAAAAGCTCGCTGTAACACTAAAATTTGGCTAATTTTATCTTTCTTTTTTTAATATACACTAAATTAAGTTTAGTTTCCTTGAGGTTTTTCTACAAATCCAAGGAGTATTACACCAGTTTAAACAATGGCATTGATATTTAAATGTCACCAGTACTAATATAACAAATGTACAAAATTCCAACGTTGTTTCAACTGTTTTTGACAAATATGTACATTTTTGGCCTGTTGCTGATCGGATTTATGATTTGAAGTTTGGGTTTTCAAATATTTCAACAGAGTGAGATCACACTCACTTATATTTTATTGTCAGTTATTATATATATTATAAATTTATAAAATCCCCTCCAAAAAAAAAAAAGATAATGTGCCCCCATTACGAATTGGTGTCACATAATACATAGATGACACCTACCTCTGTTTCGACAATATTATTCCCTAAATAGCTCAAAATTTGGTTTCTTTGAACAATTTGAAATTAACGAATTTTAACTTGAAACGTTTTTCATAAAAATATACAGAAATTAAAACGATAAGTAGAGAGATCTCAGGGTTAAACATGTTTTTAAATTTCAGTGCGTAAAAGATGACTACAGGTAAAAGCGCACCAAAAAGCTAGTGAATGGAAATTATGTTGCTCAAATGTGGCAAACCGGGCTTTTCCCGCGAACTAATGAATCTTAGATTAGCCGTGAGCCTGAATCATCGAGATTTTCCTAGAGAAACCTGCCGTGGCGCCTCATCAATACAAACATACTCTTCAAATGTAGAGAACCTTTTTTCCTGGAATATTTGGTCTGATACGTTGTGAGTCGTCCCATCTACATACATTAACAATTAAAAACATATGGTACATGGAACAAATATAACGTAGTTTATCGTATGTATTTAACACACTTGCGATGTAAAATATTTTGTCGCAAATTGTTTATTAAAACAGTACCTAACCTTTCGTACTTTATTTTTCACTTTATTGTTTTTGAGGAATGTTTTTGGATCACGACCCTCTATAATTTTTGTCGAAATGTCTTTAACTATAAGCATAGGAAATGGGATCGTAAGTATTGTTAATAGAGTCGTAAGTTTTTCAGTTCAAATTTTTAGTTTGAAAATTTTTCCTGTTTAGAGTTCATTATATAACTCAAGCATAATTAGAAAAATTTGGTCGAACATTACTGCGACAGAACTTCCCTCACCCACAAAGCACCGCTTGTCAAATTCAGTTGTTTCGAAAAATTAAAAGATTTGATTTTGCGAATGATATTGTTTGTTATGTCAACCATTATAAACTATAATAAAAATATGTATCTAATGTTCAAGTAAAGGTAAAGAAACGTGCTAAAGAGTACCATAGACAACACCCCCGCAACCCCTGCGACAAATTATTTATAGCAGATAACCAACGAGAAAAACTATATTATCAGTACATGTTTAAGTTCGATGGTTTATGTCTGTAATATATCGAAAGAATGCGACGATTAAGCACGTAGTAAGCTACCTCTTTAAGTCAGAGGATGCAACTAAAATTATTAAAAGCTACAATGGACCAAAACGTTCTGAATATTATTTTGGATAAGTAGCTGTTATAGCAATCGGAGAGTTCAGGGCTGTAAATAAATAAATAAATAAATCTTAAGCCGTTTATTGAGGGTTTTGGAAATAGAAAGTCAGTGTTGACTATTTACCGGACTCTACTCTATATTTGCTATTTAAGACATATTTTGACCTCAACGTGGAGACCATTACTTACATATTTTTTTAACAACCAGTCTACAACATAGAAACCTATTATATCAATATTGTTACTTTGTATTCAAAAAAATATATATAAAGATGTTTATTAACACTGAAATAATATTTTGCGTTAAAGAACGTATATAGCTTTTATTTTAATAATAGCTTACAACTATCGATATTACGTCTGAGTTGAGAGATTACATCAATAGGCTTTAATACAAAGTAAGTTGAAATTTTTGATCCGAGTTCATGTTTCTTAATAATAATGACGAACGAGTTAATTAACCTATTACACGAACTTTTCCCATTTATAACGAACGATAACAATATTAAGGCAATAAAAAAAATTGGTCGAAGGTTATTTCATCCAAACTTCCTTCGCCCTTGAAGTACAGTCGAACAAATTTCACTTTTTTGAAAAATTATCAACTTTAATAGTAGTAACAGTGTGCGACACAGAAAAACCACGAGAATCGAACGCGCGACCTTTGTTTGCGAAAGTTTGGATGCCTTGGGGAAAAACTCAAGACAGATTAATAGATCACAAGTACAGGGTTATGTTATTTTATCCAATTTTGATGAGTTACTATACATAACTTTGAGGTGACCTCATCAAAGTATTGGTAGGAACGATTAGACAAATTTTGGTTATCGTTTTATCACGTATACGATATTCTTAACATGCACATAAAATTTGACAACAATCGGTCCAGTAGTTTTGGACATTATCTGTCTACTAACAATGTCATGAAACATCGAGAAAACATGGAAGTAGCAATTCGTCCTATGGACCCTACCTATTACAACACTTCCTTCGCTGGCGCTCTGGAAGTAAAAATCTAATTAAATGGCAGATCAATGAGCTTGAATTATGTTTACAGTATATTTTGTCCTTAAATTCATCATCGTGTAATACTTTGAGAAACTTGTTATTAAAATTGAATTATAAAAAATAACAATCCGATTTTTACTTCCCGAGCGTAAGCAAAGGAAGTATTGTAATCGAGTCCGTCGGTCGACTCTCTACTTTTACGTTTTCTCGATCTTTCATGACCCCTAGAAGACGAAGAAATAGGTCTCCCATTTCCGTCTGTCTGTCCGTCTGTCCGTCTGTCCGTCTGTCCGTCCGTCTGTCCGTCTGTTGTCCCGGATTTTTATTAGACAGATAATCTCCGAAAGTACTCGACCGATTGTTGTGAAATTTTGTACTTATATTAAGAATATCATGTAGATGGTAAAACGCTAACCAAAATTTGTCTAATCATCCCCACCACTAATGCGATGACGTCACTTCAAAATTGTACATAGTAAATGGGTTTTCAATTGTATAAAATAACATAGTCCTACACATGTAGTTTACAACTCTGAATCGACTTTTCACCCGAAACGTCCAGATTTTTGGAAAAAAAATCAAAATTATAAAACAACATTTTGAAATTTAATTTTTAATCTGCTAACCAGAATGCTTTGAAATGTTGCAGATGTTTTAAGGCTATAAAGAGCATCATAAATCTTTAGTCAAAAAATATTTGCTTATCCCCTCCAAAAACTTGATGACGTCAGCTCAAAAGTTTGTGGAATAAATCATATCTAAAATGTACAAAATATGATGAGTCTGTACTTGTGATCTATCACTCCATTCATATTTTTTGGATTTGCATATACAGGGTGACTCAAAAAAATTAATGAATGCGTAAATTTATTTTACTGATTTACTCAGAAACTACAAAACCGAATGCTTTGAAATCTTGCAGATGTTTTAAGGTTATAAAGAGCATAATAAATGTTTAGTCAAAATATATTTGCTTATCCCCTCCAAAAAATTGATGACGTCAGCTCGAAAGTTTGCCGAATAAATCCTATCCAAACTGTAAAAATATGATGAGTCTGTACTTGTAATTTATCACTCCATTCATATTTTTTGGATTTGCATATACAGAGTGACTCAAAAAAATTAATGAATGCGTAAATATATTTTATTGATTTAATCAGGAACTACAAAACCGAATGCTCTGAAATCTTGCAGACGTTTTAAGGTCATAAAGAGCATAATAAATGTTTAGTCAAAATATATTTGCTTATCCCCTCCAAAAACTTGATGACGTCAGCTCGAAAGTTTGCCGAATAAATCATACCTAAAATGTACAAAATATGATGAGTCTGTACTTGTCATTTATCACTCCATTCATATTTTTTGGATTTGCATATACTGAGTGACTCAAAAAAATTAATGAATGCGTAAATATATTTTATTGATTTAATCAGGAACTACAAAACCGAATGCTCTGAAATCTTGCAGACGTTTTAAGGTCATAAAGAGCATAATAAATGTTTAGTCAAAATATATTTGCTTATCCCCTCCAAAAACTTGATGACGTCAGCTCGAAAGTTTGCCGAATAAATCATACCTAAAATGTACAAAATATGATGAGTCTGTACTTGTCATTTATCACTCCATTCATATTTTTTGGATTTGCATATACAGAGTGACTCAAAAAAATTAATGAATGCGTAAATATATTTTTTTGATTTAATCAGGAACTACAAAACGGAATGCTCTGACATCTTGCAGATGTTTTAAGGTTATAAAGAGCATAATAAATGTTTAGTCAAAATATATTTGCTTATCCCCTCCAAAAACTTGATGACGTCAGCTCGAAAATTTGCCGAATAAATCATATCTAAAATGTACAAAATATGATCAGTCTGTACTTGTGATCTATCACTCCATTCATATTTTTTGGATTTGCATATACAGGGTGATTCAAGAAAATAAATGAAAGCGTAAATTTATTTTATTGATTTACTCAGGAACCACAAAACCGAATGCTTCGAAATCTTGAAGATATTTTAAAATTATCATAAGCATGGTACATTTTTGATCAAAACGTATTTGGTCGTCCCCCCTAAAAAATTTATGACGTCACCACAAAATTTTGCTGAATAAATCCTATCTAAAATGTACAAAATATGGTGAGTCTCTTCTTGTGATTTATCATTCCATTCAAATTTTTTCGATTTGCATATACAGGGTGACTCAAAAAAATTAATGAATGCGTAAATTTATTTTATTGATTTAATCAGGAACTACAAAACCGAATGCTTTGAAATCTTGCAGATGTTTTAAGGTTATAAAGAGCATAATAAATTTTTAGTCAAAATATATTTGGTTATCTTCTACAAAAAACTGGTGACGTCAGCTCAAAAGTTT